GTTCTCATGATGACATATGTGGCTTTATGTCAGGAAGAAATGCTACATGAGGTAGCATGTTTGCTGTGCCTTCCCATGACCTACATGTTTAATGCAACAAGAATGAAAACCAAACAGATGCTGCTACTGCCATGTTCCAGTAGCTGCCTGGGCATTTCATTACAGCAACAATGCAGCAAAGTTTCTCCAAAGCCCTCAGTGAGTTGCTGGCACATCTGACCAACCTCTTTGTCCTCACCCAACTCTGCAGGAGGCTGGCAGAGTGTGTGACTGTGCAGCCTCCTTGGAATGCTGCTGTTAGTAGGCCAACAGTGTGTGCCATCTGCCTCCCATCACTGGTCCCAGAGATGCAAGGTAAGTATTCACCAAGTATCTAATAACTGGCACACAATCTTATCATTAGGAGAATGGTGTTGGTAGAGGAAGATGACTCAGAACTGACCTTTTCACTTTCTGTCCCCCTCAAGTGCTCTTGGTCAAGTTTATCCATCTGGCCATCGGCTCAGTTTGTCACGAATTCTTATTTATCTTTCCCATGCACATTTTGTCTCTTCAGCTGGACTGATAAACTCCTGGGGGCAGATCTTATTTCACACTACCTTCCATTGTGAGGCATCGGAATTATTGTCATGTGATTTGGTGGCATCCAAGACACTGTCCCTCATGATGACAGTGGAGCCTGGACAAAGAGACAGAGTGCCTCTCCCCTCACTCCATGGCATGCACACTTAGGAGGTGTGGCTTTTGGAAAAGCCAACCCGTGCAAACAACACTGTGTGCAACTAGAGGCCCAGAGAAGGGATTTGGTTGGAAACTGCTATGTTAAGCGAGTGTGAGATTTCAAGCTTATACTGCTCTCAAAAAGGAGTTTGTAGCTGTTACTCAATTTGCCATACCATTTCCCTTGCTGGTCTTCTTTCCTATATCTATTTTTTTTTAAATTATGTGGGTCCCTTTCCTGTGCTGGGCTCTTCCACATGAGCAGCACACAGTCCCTGCCAGCAACAGGCGATCACATTGCGTGTCAGAGGCACCTTGCAGTCCCCACGCACAGCGTCTCCAGGCCCAGAAGTTTTGGGTTTGGATTAAGGGCAGTTCCCAGCTCTTCGTGGATTGGCAAGGGCTTTGCTGCCAGCCAGAATTGGCTTGAATTCTGGTTCTGCCATTTGTTGCGGGCCCTGGGGATGGGGCTCCACCCCTAGATTCCACTGACCCAGTACTTAGCTCTCTGCTGCAAATTCACCCCTCAGGACCTAACCTGGGCTAATGGAGCCAATGGGGGCATGTCACACTTTCTCAGTAGAAGGCACTGGAGAGCCTGGTAGGAGGACATGGATTCCTGCTATTTCAGCACCACAGAGCCTGCCTAGACACAAGGCCATAGTCTGGTCCTTCCTGCCGCCCTCTCTGCTTGGAACCATGGCTTCCATACGCTAAAGGAACCCCTGCCTTCTCCAGGTTCCTGTGCAGCCTATGTGAAAGAACTTTTTAAAATTTGTGGTGAAATGGAATTTAAAGTGCAAATTTATTTTGGTGAAAAATAGTATTTCAAAAATGTGCAGTTATTTTTTGCATAGTTTTTCATAGTCTTTCACTGCTAATGCAACTGGGAAAGCAGCAGAGGATGGTCCAAGCTATTGGGACTGTACACCCACATGGGAGACTCTTTTCCATAACTCCTCTCTATAACTCTTCCTTTCGGAGCAACAGAGAGAAATATTCTTTTTGGAAGTTTTTTTTTTTTTTTTTTTTAGTTTGAAAGGCAGAGTTGTAGTGTGAGAAGTAGTTACAGAGAGATATCTTTCATTCACTGGTTCACTTCCCAAATCACTACAAGGGTTGGTGCTGGGCTGATCTGAAGCCAAGAGCCAAAAGCTTCCTCCGGGTCTCCCACATGGCAGCAGCGGCCCAAGGACTTGGCTGTCCTTTTGTGCTTTCCCAGGCCATTAGTAGGGAGATAGATCAGAAGTAGAACAACCGGGACTCTAACTGGTGTCCACATGGGTTACTGGCACTACCAATAGAGGTTTAACCTACTAGGCTATGGTACTGGCCAAGGTGGGAAGGGGAGGGTGGGGATCAGGCAGTGGCAACTGAAGGAGCTTTCATTTGCTAGCTCACTGCTCAAATAGCTGCAATAGCCATAGTGGGCCAGGTCAAAACCAAAACCCAGGAACTCCCTTCAGGTTGCCCACCTGGGTAACAGGGGACCACATGCTTGGGCCTTTTCACTAATATTCAAGGCATACCAGCAGAGAGCTGGATTCGAAGCAGAATAGCCAAGACTGGAAAGGACACACACGGATGTCAATGTCACAGGCAGGGCCTTAACCTTAACCAGGCCTGCTCCAAGCTTGTATTTTGATTCCGTTTTCCCACAGGATTTCTGCAGTGCCCTTGTACACCTGATGCCTTGTCTGCAGCCCCTACCCCAACACACACAGATGTGAGAGCCTGGATGTCACTGCACACTTGTGCTGTCCTTGGGATGCCTGTACTCTCACGCACTGCTCCAACATCAGCTCTGGCCTGGATAATCCCAACTTGCTTGCTGTGTGATGATCTAACCACTGCTTCCCCAGCTAACTCTGAGCCCCCTCCTAAACACCTTCCCTCATCTAGTGGCTTGAGTGAGAGACTCTTACGCCTTCTGGAACTCTTCCGCCACCATTAATACCCCTGCCCTCATCAGACGCCCCTCACATAACCAGCTGTGTGCTCTCTGTGCCAGCCGACACTCCTCCCTGGCAAACGAGAAATAACAGCATCTTTATTTAGGATCTAATTTATGGACCGAATGAGAAAGTCTTGCAAAAGCACACAGCTCATGGCCCTGCTAACCAGCACTGCTCTATTTTCTATTTGTCTAGACTGTGTAATTTTTTTCTTCACAATGAATAAGGGAAACCAACATCCAGGCATGCCTTCTGGGCACCAGGCGCTTGGCCAGGAACTTGACAGGACAGCGCTGATGTCTATGCGGTTAGCCTGAGAGGAGGAGACAGGGTGAGAGAGGCCAAAGGGGTCATCTGGGTTCACTCATGCTGCATCAGGTGAAGCCGGGCTACAGACGAAGGCGACTGGTCCTCCAGGTACACACTCTAGACGCTACAGTGGGCTCCTTCCAGGGCCCCAAACCAGCCTTCTTTGCACCTGAATGACAGCAGCTTCCCCACATAGCGAAAGCCCCTGAATCTCACCGCAGAGTCTGTGATGGGCATAGCCGAGCAGTGGGAGAGCCATGGGCTGGAGTGCTTTTGTAATGACTTAATCAAGAGGTCTACTCCTGAAAGAAAGGTCTGACTCATCTGAGAGGTGCAAGTCTGTGGTTTCCCTTTCTGTGTGAGCAGAATGAGGACTCAGGAGCTGCTCTTGGAACTGGTGGGTGCTGCAGGCCCCCTGCAGACATGTCCTGGGCTCTTAAATGCTCTATTTGGAGAAAATAGTCTCATTGGTTCAAGTCAAATTTACAGAATTGTACGACAGTGGGCCAACCACATGGCTTACTGCTTAGAGAAAATTTCAAATTCCAGGAGTCTTCATTAAGTCCACTAATATTTCCTAGGTGCTTAAAACACTGTGGTATATAATAGATGCTCTTGAACTGTTTGTTGAATGAGGGGCTGGACTCATGACACAGCACAGTAAGCCACTTTCTGTAACATTGGCATTCTATAGCAGAGCGCTGCTTTGAGTCCTGGTGTCTCTTTTCTAACCCAGCTCTCTACTCATGCACGCTGGCCCAGGGACTGGGACTCCTGCTGCCCACATGGGAGACCTGATGGGGCTCCCGGCCCTGGCTTCAAGCTGCACCAGCTCTGGCTATTGCACCCATTTGAAGACTAAACAGGTAGATAGAAGTGATCTTCCTCTGTTTTTAGTTAATTTATGTATTTGTTGGATAAGACGTAACGTGACCAGAACTTAAACTGGTCCCCACTTGGGGATGCTGGTGTCACAGGTGGTACGTTAGCCCACTGCACAATTTCAGAGCACGCTCTGTCAAGTAAGTAGTAAGCAAATAAATCTATCCTCAAAAATGTTTGTTGAATGAATTCACATGGTCAGGGAGCCAATCTAAGGGCTTATGTGTCTGAGGGGAAGGCTTCAGTAGGCTATTTTGAAGTGACATTTCATTTTATAAGAAACAGTGGGAACAAGGGAAAATGCCTCGACAGTGACACCATGATGACAGGTTCCAGTGGCCAAACTCATCCCACCCCAAACACAGTCCTCCTGGACCACCTCTTCTGGCCGTCAGTCCGCTTTGCAGGTGTAATGGTTGTTGTGATGGGGTGCAGCACCCCTTGGCACGTCCTTAGCATCACGCTGGCTGTATCAGTGAGGCCCTTGGAGAACGCTGTCCAGTGCCTGGCAGAGAATTCCATGTGAGGAAGAGTCTCCAGAAATGCCTTTTGACACTGATGATAACAAGACCTTAAAATAAAAAACTGACCTAATAAACAAATAAATATAAAATAACTCACACGGATTGTGGAAATTCTGCCGGGGTGGAAAGGCCTGACTGGGCCGTGTCTCCACACAAGACTGAGTTGCTAGTTAGTGGTTAGCAGCCATCCCTGCTCTTCGGCTGGACATGGCTTTCTTCCGAAACAGTGAATGAGCTAACAGTTTCAAGAGACAATCGTTGAAAATGCTTGTGCTTCCGTGAACGGCATGCAGTGTCATCTGCCATTCAGACAGAGCCAGAATGGGTTCAGCCCTCTAGTGCGCGATTACTCCCCACCTCCCCTCTCTCGCTCTTCCCTTCTTTCCAATCCCCCCACTCCTCCTCCGAAAACCTAAGCAATGCTCAGTCCGCCACTTCTGATGGAGGTGGTTGTCTGTGTCAGGACCTCTCTTTTAAAAGTTTAGGGAGGGTTCTAGGATTTCTACAAACCTCTGAAGGAGAAACGGTTGGCCATGCTGATGGCCAATTCTAATGCCCTTGCCTCACTCAATGCCGATTCCCGGGAAAGCGGCCTCTCTTTGTTCATTAGGAGCATCATTAGCCAGCTGTCCTGGCAGGATGACGAGCTGTGCTCACTGACACTGTGTAAGTATCATTTCATCTACAACCATGTCACTCATCTTTCTGCAAAGATACACACAGTTCTTACTGTGTCTTACTTGATTAAATAAATGAGTTAGTATTTGATTTATTTTACACTTTGTTCCTGAGTGTGTATGTGTGTGTGAGAGAGAGAGACAGAGGGAGAAAATTAAATAAATGCTATAAATGATGATGACTGGGAAGCGTTCTGCTTCTGACAGTAAATTTGACCTTTGACCAAGAGTCTTCTGAGCTGAGTACTGAAATTGGCGGGTCTTTCAGGAAGCCCCTGGTACTGAGGGAGCACCCAGGGTTTCATGCCCAAATCTCAGACACTTCAGCCCCTCTTGCACACATTCTCCTTGTGACCAAGGATTTATACACCAGGGCCCGCAGCTGTGTCCGCCCTGGGCTCTCCCTGAACAGGTGTATTCATACCACTTTTCATTTTCCCAGGTGCAAATGCGGGACCTGCTCAGGGAGAGAGCCCCTCTCAGCCGGATGCCAGCTTCCTCTGTGCCTGGTGGGGAAGAGGTGCCACGCGCTGGAACCTCAGCGAATCCCCCCTGCAACACAGATGGAGTCCACAAGGGAAGCACTCCATTGGCCCAAGTCCTGGAGGGAGAAAGCTGCGTTCAGAGCCCACAGCAGGAAGCCAGATACAACAGAGAAGGCTATGCATCCAGAGGCTCCTGGAAAGGCCTAGAACATGTACTGAGTGTTTCGGAAGTCAGTGAAGGAGGTGTGCCCCCAAGCACACTCTCACATCCCTTCCTCTCAGCCTCTGGTGCTGACCCCAGAGGCCACAGATTTCTCTCTGCTGCTTCCCCAGAAGCCACAGACACTGCCCTCACCTTGGAAACGGAGCGCCCTGGGTCAGTGGAAGGAGCAACGTGCGGGACAGAGTGTTCTGCAGCTGGTGGCACCATGGCTTCTGTTGGAGCCCTGGACGGTAAATATTTGCCTCAAGAAATTTGCTCCATGGACTCAGAGCTGGCAGAAGGTCAAGGCACAGGCTCTGATTTATGTCCTCCTGACAACAGGACACTAGGTGTTCTTTTTCAAGGCCAAGTTTCTGAGGCTCTACAGGCTCCATGCACAGCGTCCCCTGTACTTGTCAGCACCTTCACCTGGACCCTCTCCCGCGAGAACAGTGAGGTTGACGCAGAGGACAACCTAGGCACAGTGGAGAAGTCCATTTCTGCCTTGGCCCCCACAGTGCAGGCTGCCCAGGATGAGCTGAGCCCCAGCACCTGGCAAGGCTTTGACAAAGCACAGCCCCTTCCTTCTGAGGATAACTCTTGGATGAAGTTTGAAGAAGAGGGTCACAAGAACCCTAGCGGCAATGACCAGACCACACCAGCCTGTCATAGTTCATGCATGGAGCATCCTCAGGAGATGCCATCAACATCACCAGCTAATGCCAAGGGCCATCCCCCAACGGCAGTGGCTGCCACCAAACACCATGTGGTCAAATACTGTGCTATGTCCATCGCTGAGAACGACCATACACATGGGGCCCAGAAGACCCCACTTGAGGATACAGATGAACGCACTGCCTATCCACCTTCCCATGGACAGGCAACACTTGCTGCACAGTGTCTCACAAATGCACTGACACTAGAACAGTCTTGCATGGTGGCCAGTGTCCCTGGAGTTCAAGGGCATGTGCCTCAGCTTCCAGAGGGAGCAGGTGTCTGTAGCCATGCCCCTCTTCACGTTGATGGCCAGTCTGGGGAAAAGCACCAAACTACAGCCACAGTAGACAATGGGCGGCTCGAAGACAATTTCCAAGAAAGAGGAAGTGAAACAAAATGGAGACATGAACAGGAAAGTTTGCTCCACCCAGGTTCCCTCTCTGTAGATGACTTCCAAGGAGCACCGTCCATCATGTCTGTTGCCCAGGAGGAAACACCCATGATGCGCTTGGACCACTCTCCTGCAAACTCCAGCAGAGAAGGATGGCAGAGCCCAGGCCTGGGGACCAGCGGCTCTGGAGCCACAGAAGCCACTGTGAAGGCACCCAGCAGTCAGGCCTTGAGTACCATCCCCTCTCTCGCTGACATTCTCCTGGAGCTCCCTGGGGGGGCTGGCCTGGGAGGCTGGGAGGCAGGCAGAAAGCTCAAGATCATAACCCTAGAGGCTTCTCTGCCAGAGAGCTGGCCACCAAGACAAGTGTCCGATTCTGAATACCCAGAGTTGGATGTCAGTCCCCAGATTCCCAACCAGAGCCAGGCTGCACCTCATGCTGTAGGAGCCAGTGTTGTTATGTCTGAACTTGACCCCTCTGCAACTGCAGCAGTGGCTCACCAGCCCCGGGATGTGTCTTCCTCAGTCCTTGCCAACAACAGAGATCTGCAAAGAGGTGAAGGACTGGCTGGCAGCACACAGTGGGGAAGGCTCCCTTCCCAGTATTCAAGCCAACCCCAACTGCTGGAGTCCTCTGTGGACCCTGTAGACAACAGGGAAGTATGTGTCCGAGCTTTGCTATCAGAGGTGCCCGAAACTGGGGCAAAGGAGCATGTTAGCCACGTGAGTCGGGATCTAGAAGAAACCCAACTCAGGCTTGCACGCTCTGCTGTCTCATTCCAACGGCTGCTGAGCTGCCCAGGCATTCTGGAATCTTCTGTAGACCCCATGGATGTCTCCACAGTACTGGAGCATGCCAGGACAGAAGGACCCAAGCCTTCTGAAGCCACACAGGGAGCTGTGGGACAGGAGAGTGAATGGAACAATGGAAACTTGGGCCAGAGGGTAGAGGTCCAACCTGCTCTTCTGAAAGTTCCACATCCCCAGGAAGGCAAGGAAATCATTCCGTGTGAAACCAGCCTCAGCCGAGACCAAGGAGATGGTGAGAGATGGGCTGAGCACAATGAGGCAGATGCGCAAGTCCCACCTGCTGCTGGGCAGGCCCCACGTCCTGATGAAGGCAGAGCAAGAATTCCCTGGGGAAGCAGTGTAGGCCCAACAGAAGAAGGCACTGATGGAAGCCTTGGGGGTGCAGAACACAGCAAAGTGGATGGCTTAGACTGTGCTTGCCCAGCCTTGCCTCTGTCCAGCTGTCCTGCAGTAATGATGCCAGAGACACATACCCTCCCAGGGCAAAAGCACGACAGCCCTGGAAAAGACATTGTTGAGCCCCAAAGCCATCAGTGTGCATTTTCTGACCGGAAGGAAAGAGGAATCATTGAGAAGCAATGTGAGAAAGATGTGCCCTCGCCTAGTGACTTTACGCAGTCATTCTGCACTTTGTCTCCGGAAAAAAACATCACATGCCTTTCCTTAAGCTGTAACACTGAAGAACTGAAAGCAGGGCAGCTTCAGAGTGGAGACAGCAACCCACCAAACTCAGCCAGCTCCCCGGCAATGACCTTGGCATTGGTTCCTAGGGAGTTTCGGTGTGAGTCGGAGAAAGCCCTTCAATGTCCGCAGGCCCCAAGGGTGAAGGACTACAGCGTGGGCAGGGAGAGCAAGTCCGCCCGTGAGGCAGCACAACCTGGCAAGGTCCCAGCAGCCCCGCCAGCAGGGCCCAGGTCAGAGGAGGGCAAGAAGCTGCAGGAGCCCCCCAGAAGTGGACATTTAACCGAAGGAGTTAAGAAGAAAATCCTGTCCCGCGTGGCAGCCCTGCGGCTGAGATTGGAAGAGAAAGAAAACGTTAGGAAAACCTCAAGTTTTCTTAAAACGACCCCTAAACCTGAAACGCTGTTGTCACACACAGAGGAGAAAAAACACCCCAGAATGCCACCTGACAGCAGGGAAGGGAGAGGTGAGATTCTGCTACTTGGTTCAAGTTTGATAAGAGCAGGTGTCTCCATGAGCTCCTTTGCAATTAAGGGGGTGTCCACTAGGGGGCACTTGTGCTGTGGATTTGGCCAAGTGGGTTGCCTCTGGGCTGCCTTGTCAAGCAGCAGGCTGACCAGGGGAAGGAGGGTCTGCTTATACACAGGCAGCCTGCCCACCCCATGGGGGTGGAAGAAGACCCACCCTGAAAGTTGTCTGGGTGGGAATCCCTTTAATCAAGGAAGTGTGGTGATGGTGCTTTTCTGTTAAATTATCATTTTCTAAAAAAATCTAAAAACCTACTTAAGAGAGAAATAGAAGCCCAATCAATACAGTTAATTAGTACAGTCAAGTAGACCACATCAAAGTAGGATCTACAGGAAGACAGATTTCAGTACAGTTTGGGAATCTCCTGTAAAGTGGCTTAATGAAAACTTGGTCTCTCTTTGCAGCTTGAGTACAAATGTCTGTGTCAGCTCACCCTCACTTATCTGAGCAGAACATCCTCCAGGTTTCAGACCCTCAAAAGCCCCAATCCTCCCCACTTCATGTGCCCTGCCTGGAGAACTGTTTCAGACCCAAATTCTACCCCACGGCCTAGGTTTTAGCCCCCGTGACTTTAGAGCCCTTCTCTAGCCCCATGCCATCTTGTAGAAGTGAGGAGAACAGCACAGGGGCCCAGCGTGGGAAATGGGCTGCAGCCCCACGTAATTGGTGTCAGTGGAAGAAAGGAACAGACAGGAGACAAGGGACTCTGCAGCCAGACGTGTCACTTCAGCTATAGTCCAGTGTCCCTCAGTGCTAACAGATGCCCCGAGAGGGATCCAGCACTCCAGGATGGGGAGACCCTGGTGAGGCAAGTGCCCAGATGGCAGCCAGTCACAGACACCCCTGGGCCAGCCCAGCCCACGGGGACGGGAGGTGGAGCTCACGGGCAAAGATGTTTGCCAGGGGTGGGGCCCACATGGAGGAAGCTCCAAGTTGGTGGTTTAGAGCCCAGACTAGGACCCTGGCTACTTGATCTCTGCCCAGGACTGGGTGACCTCCTAGCCTATGGGTGCTGCCCTCCCCAGAGGAGCACCACGGAGCACCAAGTCATGCCCTTCCCCAGACACCTGCTGGGACAACAGCTTCCCCGCATGATTCTAGAAGAAATTAAGCAAACACCAAGTGACTGCAGCTGCCGTCTGACTGGACAGGAGCTAGGGGGTCAAACACCGATGTGGTTTTGCACCAGTGAGCACTTGGGATGGTTTCTGTCTCGATCATGCTCCTGGCTCCCATGGTATTGTTAGTCTCGGTTTCCATGGGGCCAAAGGATTTGTTCCCCAACCAGCCCAGTCACTACCTGGGTGGGGAATTCACTTTTACATTGCATGCTGGCGACAGGGAGAGCTTCACACCTGACTGTTTCACTGGAGTGGGATCTGAGAGAAGTGTTGGCTGTTGGCGTGGCTGTGCTTGGGTTTGATAAACACCAACCCGACACTTGCCAGTAATTCACACCCGGCAAACTTGCTCTCTTGGAGTTGTCCATCTTCAATCTTATTCCAGTGTGTGTGCTGCCCCCCAGTGGCTGCCCATGCTAATCGCATGTTAGCTATTGCTGAGCAGGTTAAGAAGAAACAATTCAAAATCTGCTGGGAGCTTACTTATTTCTCTCATATCCATTCCTCATTCCTCACTTCTCCCATTTCATTCTAATAGCCTCTTCTCTCCCGCCGGTGAGAGTGGAGGCAGACATCCGATGCCCTGGGCTGACTTCAACAAAGACAAATGGCGTGGGGAGGGGCAGGGAGGCCAGGCCATGCTTGGATTATTTTGCCAAGAGATGAGTTGCCTTGGACCTTTGGAGGGCTTAACCGGTTACCTGGCTAATCCCCAGCTCCGGTTTTGACCTGGACCGTCTGGCCATGGCTTCCAAGCATCTTTATTTGGCCAAGGTCCTGTAGAATAGATGTCGTTAATCCCCATGCCATCCCATCACCTGCTTTTCTATTTTTTATTGGAAAGGCAGATATAAAGAGAGAAGGACCTTCCGTACGATGGTTCACTCCCTAAGCAGCCGCAACGGCTGGAGCTGAGCTGATCTGAAGGCAGGAGACAGGAGCTCCTCCGGGTCTCCTACACGGGTGCAGGGTCCCAAGGCTTTGGGCCGTCCTTGACCGCTTTCCCAGGCCACAAGCAGGGAGCTGGATGGGAAGTGCGGCTGCCGGGATTAGAACTGGTGCCCATATGGGATCCTGGTGTGTGCAAGGCGAGGACTTTAACCACTATGCTATTGTGCTGGGCCCCCACAACCTGCTTTTTAAAAGACTCCCCTCAAGTTCTCGTTCACTTTGAGAGATCTCACCTCGCGAGTTCTGCGTAAGCGAGAGTGTGTTTCTGGTTCAGGCGATGTGTTTTCCTCCTGTTGACCCTGAAAGCAGCTGTGTCTGTGCTCGGGCCCTGAACTCTTTGTGCGTTGGGGGTTACCATGACCACTGACCTCTCCACACTGCTGCTGTGTGAATGAAGGGAACTGTCCCAGGAAGTCACCTGCCCACCCTGACCTGCCAATTTCTTGCTTCTAGCTCCGGTGTTACTGAGAAAGATTCAAGCTGAGATGTTCCCTAGCCACTCTGGAAATGTCAAACTAAGCTGCCAGTTTGCAGAAATCCATGAAGATTCTACCATCTGGTGGACCAAAGATTCAAAGCCAATCACCCAAATCCAAAGAAGGTTTGATCTTGGCCTCTGGTTGCTTCCCACGGTTGTTGCTTGCTTATTACCCAGCATGCTTGCTAAACAGAAGGCCCAATGACAGGAAGTAAGGGCGGAAAGTTGAAGCAGGGGTTCCATGCCCAGTGTACGCCAGAGTTAGGGGAGGCAGTGGGTGGATTTTTACTCCAGCTCTGCCACCACTTGGTTCTGGGTCTACATTTTTCTTTTTAAAAAATCAGCAATCTATGAGGTTCAGAAAAATAACAGCCATTGAGACAAGCAGTCATCTCCATGGTGGCAAAAAAAAAAAAAAAAGAAGAAGAAGAGAGAGAGCCCATTTCTAGGTATTGGAAGAGAGGAGTGGGAGGAGAGAGGTGAGAGTCAGGAACACCCGTGGGAGAATAAACGTGGCCAGGTACTGCCAAAGGGCCTCACGGTGGCAGAAGTTTCAGGCAAGTTGATGAGTTCTGGGGTCATTCTGAACATTCTGGAAGCAAGCTACCCCAATCCGCAGCACAACGCCAAGAACCCGGGATGCTGGAGCGGTGGCGGCAGTTCATCTCATGGAGCATGGGTCAGAGGGTGCTTCCACCTGCTTTCTCTTGCCACAAGTAGAGTGAGAAAATCTGAGAGCTTCTGTTTAATTAACGAAAAATGTGACTGGAGCACTTGCTCCAGAGTCTCATTTCTACTAACGTCACTCCAGGAAATCGAATTGGCTTGTGATTGATATAATAGTCACTTTGCCTAAAGTGTCACCATTGGCCTGCCTGTCTTAGATCCGGTTTAAAAGTAGTTACAATGGACAAAGAAATGGTTTGATTTTTAAATCAGGAGGTTCCCTAGAGCTTTATTTAAAAAGTGCTAATTACACATCTGAAGCTGACAGCCACAGAGAATGAGCCGGTGTTGTTTGTACTTTTCCAATGGAACCATTAGTCCTGTTGTACATATTTCTCAGAATTGACTTTTGACTCGTCTGAGTTCCTTTTCCAGATGAGGTGGGCTTACAAATACCAGACCGTGTATCATGAGTAAGCCTTCTGTTCATTGAGGACACACTCTGCCCTATTTCTTGCTGGTGACAGTACCTGTCTTAATTGAGCCTGTTCCCTTCTTCCTCCAAGCACTCAACAATACTTGGGGCTCAGAACTCTTGTGTATTGCAAAACGACTCAGATTGTGTCAGATGAGTTCTTAAGTGTTGTCAATTTTGCTCACTCCTAATTCCAGTTGAGTGTTTTTTTTTAAAATTTCATTTGTGCCTCCATGAAATATCTCATTGCCTTGCCAAAAGGTTCAAGTCTGTGCTCCTGTAAGGACACAATCCTTTGGTGAGCCTGTTCAACAGTGGCATTTAGAAGACTTAACAATTCGCATCCTGCCTTTACCCCCAGATTTTGCTACTTTCCTTTACAGGTGAAGGTTTGGAGATGAGGTTTCAGAACATTTGCTTGTGGTTCAGGCAAGATTAAAAGATTCTAGGGAAGCCAGGAGGGAAGCCACTCTCCAGTGCACACTTGGACTTTGATGCTTTCTTGGTACCCATGCACCTGCTCCTGAGTGCCCTGGGCTTTTGCTGATACAGCTGCACGTATGGATGTCTTGGCATACAGGTCACATCATTCCCATGGGGCAGGTTCCCACTGGATGGCCCCAGGAAGGACAGTGCAGGGACCCTCTCAATCCAGCCTGGGGGGGTTCACAGTGGGGTTACCCATTCTCCTCACCCTAGATCCTTAGGCCTGGGAATGGGTACTGAGAAGTCCCCAGGGTTGACACTTTTCTCTCCATGGCCCATTCATCCTGGGTAGAGTTACTCTGTTCAGTTGGTTGTCGCATCTATCCCTTCAGCGATCGCTCCTCCACTCACATTCAGCCATTTTGCTCACTGAGGCCAAAGGATCATTCCCTTGTAGGATGACAGATCCTGGAACTGAGCTTGCTTCTCCTGGTTAGAAAGGTGCCGGACGACTCCTTTGCAATTTGTACAGTTACGTTAGCATCTTCTGCACGTCCCTTTTTGTTGCCCCCTGGGAGTGAACACAGAGCAGTCACTTACAGGTATGGGAGGGCTTCCTGGGACTTGCAAAGAGAGAGTTTTCTTCATGGACAGAGTCCACCAGCATAACTGCTTCCCATACTGCCACCTGAAACCACTCACCCACCTGCAGCTCTGGCTAATTCTGGCACTCCGGGTCTGAGTCACACCTCACAGGCAGCTCAGGGGGATCCAGTTCTCTGTGAGTTTGCAGATGAGGGGTCAGGAGGGGAATCTGAGCCCTGCAGACTCCTTAAGAAGGAAGTTCTGGTGAGAGTGGTGACACGAGCAGAAAAGATGTCTCCGTGGATGTGACTCAGTGCTATTCACAGCACAGTCCTTCCAGCTTGGCTCTCAGCTGGGCAGGTGGAGCTGGACTGGCCATCTCACCAACAGGGCTACTGTGCTGCCCTGCAGGGCCCTGGAGACACACACCCTACAGCCCCTGTGACTCTTTCAGCATTTGACTACCCTGCCAGGAAACCTTCCCCATCAATGGAGGAAGTCTTATGGTGTAGGGCCTTTTTTTTTTTTTTTTTTTAGCACTAGCATGGTCTATAAAAGGTATGTTAAACCACAGAATCCAAATCTATTTTAAAAAATCAATAGCAAATGCTTTTGTTAACATGCAACCAAAACAAACTTGAGATGGGTAGGGTTTTGTTAGGCTATGGAAGGAACCCAAAATGAAACATACCCTCACACAGGCACACACAATCTTGATGAATGTCTAAACAAAGCTCATAGCATAGAACAATGAAGATTCATTTATGCTTCATTTTTTGCTGTAAAATATGGTGGGTTTTGTTTTGTTTTTTGTTTTGTTTTGAGACTTGGGAATTAATACTGTAAATCTAACACCATTTAGATTATCCTAGACTTGAGGTCAGGAGCCAGTTTACTTGGGGACACAACTTAAATAAGGTCAAGATCATTTGCTTAAATCTCCCCATGTCACTGTTTCCTCAGCTGCAAAATAGACATAGTAGCTGAACCTCTCTCATTAGGTTACTCAGGATGACATGGAATAGCACAATGGCTACATCTTAGGTGCTCAAAACACATAAGTTGTCCTCATCACCACCACCACCACTAGTAGTATTTCCAGAACAGTGTCTGTCTGGAACTTACTAATACTGGGTGGGTAGATGGCTAGATGATGGTATCCCTTAGGTAAGCCACCACCACAAGGGCAGCAGTCATTGGCTGTTGTGGAGAGCAAAGAGCCTCCTCCTCCACTCCTCCTCTGAGTTCAAGCTTGGCTCTGGAGATCTTCAAGCACAGGATACGAGGATTAGTGGCAGAACTGAGGTGAATTCCAAGCAGATGCATGAATGCCAGTTCCCAGGGTTCACAACTCCAACTCTTTGCTTGACTGCTGGCAGTCAAACCTCCTGCATGCCTGTGTGGACTCATCTCACAATTTGGAGGTGTGGAACCAGAATAAATAAATTCCCTGCAAACAAGCACACTACTCAGCAGCTCACCTCGGGCCTGCTGGGTGGCTGAATTCCTGAGGGCAGGGCATTTGTTTCTTTTTCCTGAAACGTGATTGCAAAATGCAACTTCTAAGCCATGACACGTCGATGTCCCTCGTTACAGTGCCGGGGACAACTCCACGGTCTCCCTGGCCATCGTTCAAGCCAGCCAGAAGGACCAGGGCCTCTATGACTGCAGCATCGAGAACAGCCATGGAAAAGCAGCAGCTCAGTTCAACCTCACGGCCGCAGGTAAACGTTAGCTTCCCCGTCTCACAGAAAGCCCACGGGCTGCCTCAGCTCTGAATGGGCTTGTGTGATGAAGCCGCTCTCTGCTTTGTCTCCTAGTTCTCAAGCAGCTTTCAAGTCACCAGAACACTAAAGGTAAGCCGATCTGGGTTGGCCCGATCACGGTGAGGGGTTCCCCTGAATGCATGCAAGAACCCCTGGTGTACAGGGTATACACTCCAGCCCCCCAGCCTCTTCCCACCCAGAGGAGCTGCTGGAAGGACTGTAGGAGTGACTGGCACTCCATGAGTTCCTCTAGGGTGATGAGCAGGATCATGTGCCTAGGACCACTTCATGCAACTGCTGGCACTCACTCAGCAGGTGTGGCTTTCATTTTCTTCCAGGGGGACTAGCTAAGCCAATTCCTAAAGAGAGCAGGTGTCAAGAAAATAATTCTGCTTGTTTGTATCTTTATGAAAATGAAAGCAGGGGCAGGGGGTGTGTTGCACTTTCTTTTGGCACCTGTGGGTGCTTGCTGCTCCAGGAGCCAGCCAGTTTGGTGGGATTCATGAAATCAATGCCCGCCTCTACCTGGGAGTGCACTGGAAAATATTTAAGAGCTTGAGTGGAGAAAAGGGGGGGGGTTCTGGTTTGTGGAGTTTTCCATTTTCCATGGTGCAAATCCTCACTGCACAATGCTGCTAGTCAGCCTTGTCCTGGTTGTCCGGACCTGCGCAAGCCAATGTGTGGGAGGGGCCACATTCCATTCAACCAGAGCTGTGTCTTCTTGCAGGCTGTGAAGAGATTGAATTCAGCCAGCTCCTCTTCAAGGAAGACTTCCTCAGTGACAGCTACTTTGGGGGCCGCCTACGTGGCCAGATCGCCACGGAGGAGCTGCACTTCGGGGAAGGCGTGCACCGCAAAGCTTTCCGCAGCACTGTCATGCGGGGCCTCACGCCCGTCTTCCAGCCAGGCCATGCTTGTGTGCTCAAGGTACACAATGCCATTGCCTATGGGACCAGAAACAATGCAGAGCTCATCCAGAAGAACTACCGGCTCGCAGCCCAGGTGGGTCCACTTGCTCGGAGGAATCTCAGAGGAAAGTTGGACTCAGGATGGATGGAGGCCATGTCTCCAAGGCAGTCTTCTTTGGGGACTGTATCCAGAATGGAGGGTGAACACTGAGAATTGCATCTCCGTGTCAGGCAGAATTTCTTGGCCTCATGGTGGGCAGGAACGCCAGGAGATGCCCTACTATTCTGCCCTTGGATGTGATGGCTTCCATGCCTAGGGAGGCCCCCGAGCTCTCTGAGGAGATCTGAAGCTACTCTGGGTGCCAGGATTCCCCATGACAAATAAAAACAGCCCTAGCTTCCAGAGGGTTTGCTTTGGTTTGGTTTATGAAAGAGAAGTGGAGAGAGGAAGGTTGATACCAGTCTTATTTCTTAATGCCCTACACTTGCTACAAGGTTGTCTTATACACTCGCAGGAGAGGCAGCCCCACTTTTGAAAAGCCAAGTTCACTTCTCTGTTACTGACTCACAGAACTCCTAAGGTGAGGGGATGGGGACAGCTTCAGCTTCTCTCCCTCCCTCCCTCCTCCACCTGCATCTTGATCCTTGTGTGACACTCTTTGCTGCAGCACCAGGTAAGTGTTCAGGCAAGCTAGGTCTAGGTCTTCCACAAACAAGGGGCTCTCCTACCATGGCTACCATGAAGTAACAGGTCAAACTCACATAGCTCTTCCGGGTGCTATGAAGCTCTGGTCAGTCCCAGTACCGCTAGTGTTTGTGAGGTTAGTCCTTCTTCCCCACAGGTAGATTTTACCAACCAGCAGTCCTTTCTTCTCTGGATCTGACTCTTGCCTCTCTAACCTTGAGGGTTCCTCCGTCTCCAGTAAGACCCAGTCATGGAATAACATACCAGCATCGAGACACTCCAGAGGGGCAAGCCAAGGTGTTCCTGTTTGCTACCCAGATTACACCTGAGAAAAGCCATCACAGAGGGAAGTCGCACAGGGAACCTAGCCGACCCTGAGAGTCACGTGATGTCATACTCAGGGCCTGTCTCCTTAGCTCCAGCATCAGCATCAGCCGTGCTGGTTCTAGAACTTCATTGTTCAGGGATAGCTGTCCCTAGAGACCTCTTGGCATTTGCCTGGTCAGTTCCTTCATGTCTCAGAGCTCCTCTGCAAGTGGCCTACTCTAGGTTGTCATCACTGTTCCTTCCAGAAACCCAAGAAATGGGTTTAGGAATCTACTGGCTTCACCTCTCCTGGGAAACATTTTGGTTAGCCTCCTGTGCAGCGCTGTGCCTGAACTCCTTCTCCTCATTTGGATTTCTCTGTGTTTGGACACTGTAGGAGTGCTATGTTCAAAACACGGCCAGACACTACGCCAAGATCTATGCTGCGGAAGCACAGCCATTGGAGGGCTTTGGAGAAGTGCCTGAGTAAGTGTGTTGACCCTGCTCTCTATCCGTAGCCTTACTTGCCAGGGATGAAAGGGTGGTAGGGCCAGGAGGACAGGAGTTGTTTGTGTCTATAAAGGCCCTCCACAAGGGCCTGTGTGGTTGCTCTGTTCTTGCTGGGTTTCCAGAAGCATACTTAGAGGAACTGGCTAACTATTCTTTAAATAAAGAGATACAGTTGTGGAGTATGGGCTCTGTATATGTAGAATGGATAAATTGAAGGATGAATAAAGTCACTCACTGAATGTACCCACCATGTTGGATAGAAAATAAAGTACACCTACTCCCATAGTTATTATATCATCTGTACAGTAAGAAAGTACAGAGAACAAGAGATTGCATGTGTGACGACAATAGGTTACAGCAATATGTCCCCAGGAAGAGCAAATGGGATGACGTGGCACACAGGAACACACTACCCATCTCCTGGAATCCCACAAAGGTAAATCAAAGCTGTGACTTCTATCCATTCACTGCCTAAATGTATATTGGCCTCAGTGAACTGGGAGGCTCCTGAGTTTATTGGCCTGTTCATCTGGTTGAGGTCACAGCTGTTTATGTGAAAAGAGAAAGGGCTGTGCCAGTACGGTTAGGAAATTTCAGACACAACAGTAGGTGTAGGTAAAAATGAGAAAAGGAAAGAGGTAGGGATTCTTGTCTCTTTGAATCCTGTGAACTCTCAAAATGGAAAAAAATACGGTCCCTTGAATGGCATGTTGGGCACATCATGTAGAAAACCTAATCCGTTCTGCTCTGCACCTCAAAATGCTTAGCACACTTCGTGAGTACGCAAGTGTTTCTCAGCAAGTCCAAGGAAGAGTCACATTGTCCAATGAGAAAACACAATGGTTTTCTCGTTAACTCCGTGGAGACAGACATTTTCCTGAGTCAAGGTTCTGAGCTGTAAGAATGCGTGAGGCTTTTTCCTATCAAATCTCTGCCCTTGGTCCCCTGCTCAAGCCCTTCCCTAGGAAAGAGAAGACTTTCCCACTACCTCGTCACCCAGCACCCACTGACAGGCACAGCCCAAGCTTTGGGTAACTTGACTCTTTGTTATTTTGAGCATTTTCTGATCGAAATAATATCGTTATGAACATAAGGGGTGATCACAGGACTTAGACTGTCCCTGGACAGGTGAGGGTCACAGGGACTGATGGGTGAGGGACCTCAGCAACACAGAAGGGTAAGAGCATCACAAAAGACAGACTGGGACAGTTTCTGGCTGAAACACCTTTTCCCTCTTGACCACAGCGACATGGTGAGCAAAGGAATGGTGAAAGTATATGGAGGGGACTGTTCCTCAGAGGCACATCTGGGCCTACTGTCACGTTCATGGCACCAAAATCAGAATCCTCAGCCCCCAAACACACACATGCGCATAAAGCACGTGTGTGTACACATCCACAAGTATACACACTCTCAGCTGATCTCACACATCCCTAGTACACACACACTGAGGAAGGGAAGGAATAAGAGACAGGGAGACAGAGAGTGAGAGCAAGAGCTAGAGCTGCCAAGTGCTGGCCCGCACACACCTGGCCTTTCTGAAGGCCCCATGGTTGAATACCTGCACCTAGAGATGGACCACAGAGGCCCCAGACCCAGGCTGTCCCCACAGACTCTGAAGCTGGCCTGTGAGTCTGCTCCGTGCAGGTGGGGGTCCTGAAAACACTGCTGGAGCAGCTTCTGTCTCTGAATTCATGAATATGAATGGGACTACGCTATCTATGCAAATGGTCTTGGCAGAGTCTAGCTGAGAAGCAGAATAATGCCTATCTCTTGTTCTTGTTTTCCCCCACCGAGGGCTGCAGAGTGAGTAAGGTCCCAAACAGAGCCTGACCATTTATGTTTATGGAAAGGGCCAGTGGCTAGAAGGGGTCCTCAGAGGTTCCTGTGAGTGGGAGGTGAGTGATACCCTGAAACCTGCCAAATGACAAAGCTTGACAGGTGACGGCTGGGCTGCTAGGCCAATGTCAGGGGCACAAGGACAGGCCCAGCGCCATCTGGACAACGCTTGGAATTGCTTTAGCAGCACACAAAGCGCTTTCATCCTCAATGCAGAGAGAACACTTTAGCCAACTGGTAATGAGCTCACTGGTATTGGCGGAGCTGGCTGCTTTGTGTCTGTGCATGGGCCCACTTCCAGGAGGGGTGTTGTCATAGCCTGCTGTGAGCAAACTCCTGCCACCCTGTCCATGGAGCCAGAGGCTTCCCACACTGTTTCAAAGTAACTCTTGCCAGAGGCAGCAGAGGATAAACAGGCCATGGCAAGAGTCTGGGGGAGGGGGTGGGAGATGCTGAGTCTAAAAGAGGGGGTGGGAGGAAGGACCATGCAATTTCTCGGAAGTGCTGCATTTTGCATCTTGTAAATTCAGTTGAGTTTCATAGCCTTTGTCCCTTTATGGCTGTATTTGTTCTAATAAAAGCAGCATTTTCCCAGCCAGCTGGCACTTGGGCTAACACCTGTGTGTACTCCCTCACTTCCTGAGAGAAGCATAGCCCACAGTGGCCGGAGAGATAGTCCTCACACATGAGCATGGCAAACTGTACCCACACTGATGGCAACAGGACCCACCTCCAGCCCCAGTGCCCTCGTGACTTTTCTGAAGTTTGGATCTGACCATTACAGTGAAGGCGATGGTTCTACCCTTCAGGGTTGTAGTCCCAAGCCTGTGACTCTGGCAAGCCTGTGACTCCCACTTACCAACTCTTTGCAGGGCTTTACATGGAAGACCGCCACTGAGCACCTCCTCTCAACATAGTGGCTTTGGCTGGTGTGTACCTGGGACTGTGTCCCTTGACTTTGCCCTTCTACCACTCCCCAAAGTCTCCTTTCTGATCCTTTGAACATAGGACAAGTTGGTAGGGAATTCCAATCTGTGTTAGTCTACTCATTTGCCAAGCATTGCATGTCATTAGCTCTGCGATCAAGAAATGGGTGTAAACGTGTTCATTCACTATTTTTACCAAAGTCTTCTTGAGCATTTATTATGTGCCAGGCTTTGCTTCTGTTCTGGAATGGCAGTGAAAGAATCCAAAGAAAAGGGAAATGTAGGATGCTCTTCTTCACATCCAGCAGGAGTAGATCAGAAGTCAAACAAAATGTTGAAAAATAACGCGACAGTATTAAGTACCAGGAATTACAGGGCACAAAGGAAGTAGAGAACCAGGAAAGGCTTCTAAGAGGAGGGTGCTAAAGAATGAGTAGGAGCTTGCGAGAAGGGGAACAAGGGCAGAGAAGTGCCAGCAAAAGAAGCAGCATGTTCAAAGGCATAGAGCCATGAAGGGTGGTTTTGAAGGAACTGGAAAAGGTTTGGTGTGTTCAGAATGGCGGCAGGACACAAAAGAAGCAGAAAAAGAAGCCAGAGAGAAAACAGGTGCCAGGATGCAGAGACCTCGCAGTGCTCAGCGAATGAGTCTGGCCTGGCTCTTTCAACTGCAGGGAGAAAGGTGCAGGGGTAAACCAGGAGCTGTATGTGGCACAGACTTTGGGCAGCAGGCAGGTGTCGGCGGGGAGAGATTAGAGCCATCTGCCTAGCAGCAGTGGATGCTGGCAAAAGGACTGGGCATGATGGCATTAATCCAAAAGTGGTCACCGAAGCCAAAGAAAGGGATGGGGTGAGGACCCAAGTCCAGAGCTGGGAGTAGGAGAGGGAGAAAAGCTTTACATGACATTGAGCAGGATGAGGTACTTAACCAGACCTGAAGCAGGGAAAAAATAAGGGAGAAAAGGGTGAAGGAGGGATACCGACTAGGGAGGTGATGCTGTGCTGAGATGCAGAGCACGTGTGGCTCAGTGAGGGCCTGAGTCTCAGTGCATGGTTTCCAAGGCTCTTCATGCTACAGGGGACATGTGACTGTCAACACTGCAGCCCTGGAGCCATGGACAGAGAGGGTAGCTGCAGCTGTGGACACTGTGGAGACACAGGGCAGAGACTGTGAAATGAGAAGAAGGGGCCTGTGATGCAGCTTTGAGATGCTCAGGGAAGCAGGTGTCAGCAAATGCCAAGAAACAACTGCAGGGCCACAGCAGGCGGCCTGGGTGCTAATGTGCATAGCCAGACACTGCAGAAGGATAGCAGGGGAGTCTGGGGCCAGCAAGAGGGGCCAAGGGAGGAAGACACAGCTTTGTTGACTTGGGGAAATGGGTCAAGGAGGGCAGTAGGGTGAGAGATTGTGAACCCAGGAGCTTTCTACCAAGCGAGGGTAATCAGGGGAGCTGGAATGACACCTGAGTGCAAATCGCCCAAGGAAGGTGATGCTGGCTGTTTTTAACAGGGGCGAGATATGAGCCTGTTTGTAAGCTAAGGGACAAAGAAAAGGGGACGCAGAGAGGGACTTTATCTCAGAGGGGAAAGAGATCAGGGGGCATCAAAGTGGTTTTGCAAAGGGCCAACTATGTAGGCCAAGATGATTAGGTAGAAACTTACATAACAAGAGGAAATGAATATCTACATATCTTAATGGATGAATTTCAAAAGAGGGTAACACCTTTTGGTCATATACCTTCACTGGTGAGAATCATCAAATCTTTCAAATCAGATTTGGCTGTATGCAGATTTGGCCCGGTGCTGACCACAATCAGGTCAACCATAGCATTGCTTTGTAAACGTCATTCTGAGCTTGTGGGCTGCCAGGAGCCCAGCACTGAGCTGGACACAGGCAAGTGTTGCCAACACACACTTTGTTCAACTTTTCCAGCAGCGAGTAGTGGAGGGAGGACATAGGCAGAGCCGTTTGCTGGCTGTGCTGGCGTCTACTCCTTGCCTTGGGAATAGCCAGTCATGGCATCCCAGACTGCTTTGAGCTGGCGTAACTGTGCTTGGAGAGTGGATGGCCACATCACTGGGGTAGAACCAAGGATGGTTCAGTCTTGGCAGACTGGGGATGCCAGGCCAGGAGGTAAGGCTGACAAGAGCTTGTGTGCAGGTGGGAGAAGACCAAGCTATGGAGCACAATAAGAGCAGGAGATGAGGATGTTGGAGCGCCTCTCCCTGAGTTCTGCTCTCTGCAAAGTCATTTCTTGCTTAGCTTCCATGACTCCATTCAGGCCTCGCCTCATCCAGAAAGTGCAGGTAATGCTCCTCCATGTTCCTTCCCCAAAGGTTGCCCCTGGAAGGCAAGGAGTGTCCCTCATTTACCTTTGCTCCCCTGCAAGTCTTCGTGATTCTGACCCAAGCCATTCAGATGTTGGCTGAGTGACAAGAGTTGGGGGAGGGGTAGTGAGAGTGTCCAGTCACTGCAGTGCTACAGGTGTGGAGGGTGAGGCAAGTGAGTCCTTCAGTCTTATGTGGAGCTGGAAATACTATTGGACAGCAAGTGCAGGCGGTGAGGATTGCTGGAAATGCAAACCGACAGCTCCAGGGAGAGATCAGAGCTAGAGACCGCGATGTGGAAGCTATGGGCAAATGAACTGTATTTCAAGCAAAGAGATCGCCAGGGAGCGTGTGAAGAGGGAGAAGAGCTGATGGAGCAGATGCAAAGCAGCAAACGTGACAGAAGCAGCAATGAGACAGAAAAAGGCAGGGGGCAGTGAGTGTCTGGGGGCCACAGGAAGGTGTCTTCAGACAGAGCTGGGCGTCTGCCGTGCCCCAGGCTGCTGAGGGCTGGGAAGACACCATCAGCTTTGGCGATGTGCCAGCCACGCGCTGGACAGAGGCATCTTCTGCAGGAAAGCCTCTTTGAGAGGTTCAAAAGAGGTGGGTAAGGGAGCCATCAGAAACTAAGTCTACAACCAACTCGAGCTTGGAGATGCACTATGAGTCAGGAGTTGGCATGGCCACGGTGCTTGTGCTGTGCATTTATCACTGCAGGTCACTGTGTTCTTAAGGATGATTCTGTAGAGGGAACAACTGATGAGGGAGCCTTCTGACTGCTTTAGTTTTCACAATAAAACTGGAAGCTGAGTGTGAGATTGGTGGAGGAGGGGTGTGTGGTGTGAGGCGAAAGGAACAGGTGCAAAATAATTCAGTTGGCAGTGAATGAATTATTAGTGAAACAGTCGTACATCCAAGACCTGACAGCCTTTCCCCACCCCTGTGCAACCAATCTCTTCTCCACTGCTGTATTTTTCCAATCAACTCTTAGTACAGCACAGTGAGTTGTTTGTTGGATGGGCCTCTCATTTAAATTCCACATAAGCAGAGTCTTTGTTGACCTTCCTGCTACTGCGTGGAAGAGTATCTGATGCATAGAAGCCACTGGATGAATACCTGTTGAGTGGATGAAAGGAAAGGACAAAGTACTGGGTGGGTGGGAAGAAGGTTGGAAGCCTGGGTAGGTGGGTGGAAGGATACAAGTCATTAAGATATAATTATATGGAAGAAGTTCAGCTTCACTCCAAGCAGAAACCTCTAAACAACCCTAAGAATGAAAAGAAACTAGCTACACCTCTTTCTACCCACTGAGTGGTCACTTGCAGGACTTCAGGTCTAACTTGGATGGAACTTAGGGTCATGTCTGCTGCTCTGTACCACTTGGGGAAGGATGGAAAGCACCGGAAGCCTCTCTTGGGATCTGAGCACCCAAGCTGGGTCTGTGTTCTTTTTCCTGCCAGGATCATTCCTATTTTCCTCATCCATCGGCCCGAGAACAACATCCCTTATGCCACAGTAGAGGAAGAGCTGATTGGAGAATTTGTGAAGTATTCCATCAGAGATGGGAAGGAAATCAACTTCCTGAGAAGAGAATCGGAGGCTGGGCAGAAATGCTGTACTTTCCAGCACTGGGTCTACCAGAAAACCAGCGGCTGCCTCCTGGTCACAGACATGCAGGGTGAGGAGCACAGTGGGCCCAGTGCCCAGGGACGCTGTGGGCCAGGGTGTTCCTGGGGAGGGAAGGGAGGACAGGAGAGGCCCTTGGGGGACTTGAAGTACCTCTGCCCTGAGAAGGCGTGGCTCATCAGAGACTGGCTTAAACAGAGGAGCCTGAATGACCAAATGGAGCGATAATCTTCACCTTAATAATTCATGCCAATTATGCTGTCCCATTATAACTGGCAGCCAGAGATGAATTCTGGTGTTAAATCCTCTATGTTGCAAGCTCAGAAATACAGGTGAAAATCCAGATACACCAATTCATTCTCAAGTGATGGAAATTGTCTTTAGGATGCATTCAATTCTAAGCTCCCTTTATGAATTCTCAGAATGTTCTCAACTGTTTAGGGATATCACTCCTTGTATGGAACCAGGATGTCAGGGTAAGGGTTCCCCCAGAGAAATACCTGAGGATAAGTATTCAAGTCCAAATGGCTCCCCAAGAGCGGAGAAGCCACCAGCAGGAAGAAGTATGACCAGGAAAAGGAAGGTCACCCCTGTTACTGGTGTGGGCAGCTAGGGCTCCCACTTCCATAAGGAGCTTGGGACAAGGTGTTTCCCCTCCACCCAGGGGAGACTGAGCCACCAGCACCCACAAGCTGCAACACAAAGCTGCTCCTGCTATGTGCACGTGGGGACAGGGGGCTTCCGCCATCACAGCTCTTGGCCAAGCTGTGGTGGAGGCAGAGTCCAGGTGCACAGGGGTTAGAGTGAAGGCAGTGAGTGGGACAGTAAATTGGTTACCAACATATTGCCATGGAGTAAATGACCTGTTTCTGTTTAACTCCTCATTTAAAAACCTACGGAGAGCGTCTGCGTCCGCTTCACCCAGCTATGACTCGTGGCGACATCCAACATAACCACAGTACATGGCCTAAGCCAGGAAAATGACAGTAACCTAACCCAATTAACTAGCACCCAGACTTACGTGTATTCCAGCAATTTTTGTACTCACCCATCTTTTCCTGTTCTTTATCTTCAGAATTACCCCACAAAAAAAGGTATATGACACCCACTTCACGGAGGAGACTATTGAGGCTCAGAGACAGTGAGGAACTGCCTGCTGCCACTCAGCAGAGGGGTCTGCGACTCCAACCCACACTTGCTGAATCCCAAGCTCTCCCCACCGCCCTACACACCCTGAGTTAATGAGTTAGCAAGACCTTGACTCGTTGACCTTTATGGCAGTCTCCTTTGAGGGTCTCATTCCCTCTGCCCAAGTCCTCGGGCAGGCCTTAGCTTCCTGCTGCTGCTGGGGCTGACAAAGCTGCTTGCTTTTCTGTGGGCTTGGCTGCCACACACTCACACACAACAGATATGAGCTTTGATCATTTATTCCACTTGGACAATGGCTGGTATCCCCTCCCCGCCCCCTGTCTTTTCTCCTTCAGAGTTAACTTGGCGTTAAATATTGCTCTTCTACCAGAAAAACGCCACCCTGGGGCTTCATGCACAATGCATTTGGCTTCCAGGCACACCAGCAGATGCAGTGTGATCTGTGTGTAATTCACAATGCGTGTGTGGCTTCATGGGCAGTGTGGTGTTTAATGATGCTGTTTAGTTGCTCTCCGCGGTCAGGGAGAATCTTCATATTGCCACTGTTTCCGTGGCATGAAATAGCAACCCAACCTCCAAGCTCTGCTTTTCAAAATTTCTACTGAGACACTGGAATTAGGATCAAAACCAACCAATCTAAACTTCACCATCTCACATCTAGACCCCCTTATGGTCCCTCAGCTATGGGGGTGGGGAGGAAGGTGCCCCTGGGCTTTGTACCCGAGGTCTGTACACCGGCGAGACCTGTCACTCAAAACGCTCAATGGCTCAAATCCTAGAGACAGTATCTTACGCTGCCAGCTCCTTACCCTCCGTCAGAAACAACCTGTAGATGACTGCCATCCCCAGCTCAGTGTGACAGTCGCACACTGGAATCCAAATTACTCTCATCTAGTGACTCTTAATGATGGTGATTGAATTGCTGACAAATTATTATTCTGAGAGAGAGGTGTTTCTTTTTAAAAATTATATCCTTTTTCCCCCTAGACTGGAAATGACAAGTGGTGATTGTAAGAAACACAGGAGGGCAGTCCCCCTGGTTCCAGGACCTTTTGTCCAATGACTTTTTAAAACTGGCCGTCTATGCAGCACAGAGCTCTAATGTACAAGCTCAATTTTCCATGAGATAAGATGTCCAAAAGGGGATTTTACAATTTGAAGTCCCCTTTTGTTTGTTTCTAAAAAGCACACTCCCTCTAATAAGTGCTGTTTCTGCATTTGCATGAGTCGTTAGCAGCTTTGGAAAAATGAGACAAATTTGCCACCAACTGCGACCGGCCTTTTCCCATTCTCCCCAGCTCCCCAAGAGTGGCAGGTGGGGCTCAGCTCACAGGCTCCCTGCTTCTGCCTGGCACGAAGTCTGAAGAGTAACATGTCCTGGATTTTCACTCAGTTCCAGGCAAACATTGCTGAATCCAAGTGTTCAGCCTTCTCCCTCGGGGCCTCAGAAAACACCATGAAGAATGGAACTTGGTCGCCCCCTGATCTGAAGCCCCCCAGAGTGGGTTTTGGGAGATGCTGACTCCCCCACTTTCCCAAGCCCAGACTGGTCCTCAGACTGTGTAGCTCCTCCGTGGGCAGGTCTCCTGGGAGTAGTCAAGAAACTAGCCTCGGGGAGACCAGATTCAGGGGCAAGACAGGAGGCAACAATGCCCCCGTCCCCCTGTCTGGCACGTGAGAGGGCATCATGGGTGCTGTGCCCTGTGTTTAGAGATTATTCACTGGACAGCATGGGTGAGGTCTTAGGAGGGGTCCATGGCATTAAGACAAGTACCCAGAGCCACCATCCCTGGGACACAGGGACAGAATTGCTACTTGGTTTGGGCAAGGACTTTTAGCAATGCCCAATGATCTCCATTCTACAGATGCCACAAGGTGGGGGGTGAGGGGCTGCTCCTTCCTGTCAGACCCAGGCAAGGTCGAGGGAGTGAGCCAAGGAAGCGTAGCGGGGCAGAGTGCAGGCAGGTGGCTGTGCTCTGTGCTGAAGTAAACTGTGGAAAAGGCAGACTCATCTACTCTCTTAACTCCCTGCCTCAGTTCCCAGCCACCACTGCGGGGCCCCTGCATGTTGGGCAAGCTGAGACTCCCCATGAAGGAAACAGTTTGGTTTTCCTGGGTTTGGAAGTCTCCTAACCAGTATCTGGGGCAGGAGGCAAAGGTCACACCATGGGCTATGAGCGGCATGACACTGGCGCTGGGGAACATCTACCCAGCCTCACGGCAGTTTCCTGGGGACTGAATCTCTCTGGGGTGGGACAAGAGTCTTGCCAGAGGCAGGAAATGGCATATCTGGACTTGGTTTTCAAACTCAGCTGACATTACCTTGAGCCTTCTCACTGTTCATGTTGACCATCTCAACCCATGCCCATACCTGCTGCCCCTGCTTACCAATGAGCTTCCACTTCCAACAAGAAACAGGGTCCAGCACTAGATCCCCACGGAAGGTCAGGGTGGGGGCAGGGAGTGCAGAGCTCATGGAAAGTGACAGGCCTCATGTTCATCACAGAGTAGCTGGCTCCCTCCTCTATCCTGGGGATGCCAACTCCAGGGCTGCAGGGGCACTGCTGGGGCCAGGGACGTCAGACAGGGTCTGCCTGGTCCCTTGTCACCTCCTAAAGCTGGGTACATGGCGGAAAGCTGGAGACCTCAATACAAAGAGGTCCCTGGTGGTAGAGAGGAGGAGGAGAGTGGGTGTTTCTGAAGCGGGGCACCCTGTGGACAGTAGGTGAGCACCTGCTAAGGAGTCCCAAGGATATCAATCTTTTCTTGCTCTTCCTACAGGCGTGGGGATGAAGTTAACTGACGTCGGCATAGCTACGTTGGCCAAAGGGTGAGTGGCGAATCTCAAGGCGTATCACCGGACACTGGGCTTCTGGCACCCAACACGGAGGCCATGTGGGCAGAGCGACTGTCTCTGTCCACACTGCAGATGACAGATGCTCTTGGGCCAAGTCCAATTCACGTCTTTCCTTTCCATCAGACATGATGGGCTTTGTTCCCGCAGAGGGACACATTTGCTTCCCTCCTTTGGCACAGATAAGAACTCTAACGAGCACATTTAAAGATTAATTACTTGCAGGAGCACCACAGGGGAAAATGGTGGCATTACCGGAATGTCTGCAACTAGGACGATTCCACTTTGCCACTACCTTTGCTACTAGAAGCTTCTTAAGAATATATACACACACAAATATATAGCAATCGAGTACAGTCAATTCAGTTTGGATATTTTAAAAGTACTTTATTCCCCAAAGCACTTCAGGCTGTGCACAGGCTCCCACGGAGGCAGCGGATAGGCTCGGCTGCTGCCCATGGATGTCTTCTTACTTAATGTGGGGCGTGCTTTGTCTTGCTTGGCATGAGCCATGCCCTAGGGACATTATGATGACTTTTTGCCTGGTTTCTTTTCAAAACATTAGTGTGAGAGAGCAAAGGGGAGAAGAGACAGACTCACTGCGTCACTTCTCAGACACCTGCCATGAGGAGAGTTGGGGCAGACTGAAGCCAGGAGCCCAGTCCAGGGACCCCAGCTGCTTCCCAGGATCTGCATGAGCAGGAAGGCAAAAGCAAGAGCAGGACCAGGACTTAAACCCATGAACTAAGCCCAGTGAGCATCTTAGAACACCTTTCCCTTCTCATTGCCTTTGCCTTGTCACCCCTAAGGAGAACGCACTGTAGCTTTTGGTGACAATGGGATTCTATTACGTTTGCCTTCCATGGCTCACGTCACATACCAAGTGGGAGGAAAAGGGCACGTTTGATAGAGTGGGTGCTCACGCTGCTCGGGTGTCAGTCAGCAGGTCAGAAGATGGCTGTGTGGTTTGGGTCACAGTTTGGATGTTCCTCAAAGACTGATGTATTAGAGGTCTTGGTCCCTCAACTTTTCTGTTGGTACTTGAGAGATTAATGGTGGATGGGGCTGTCCAGGGAAGCACCAGGGTACTCAGAGGGCAGAGGAAGTGGAGGGTACAATATTGGCAGGAACCTGCAGTGTGGTGTCCTTGGGAAGGAATGAGAAAAGCAGGGCACACAGGATTGGACAGGCTAGTGACCAGATTTTCAGCTGGCTCTGGGGCTTAGCGAGTGTCTCTGGTTGTCTGGGACCTGTCCTGGAGTGATGGTCTGAGGCAGAGTGGCAGAGTGGAGAACCCAAAGGAGGAGGTAGTTGGATATTCTGCACATGAAAGACATTCTGGAAGCAAGCCTTTGGCTCTGTCTGGGACCTGGCGGGCCCTGAAGGGCATCTGCGCAGGCTGAGTGAGGCTGCAGGTGTCAGAGCAGAAATACAGAAAATACAAACAGGGGTTGGGGTGCCTCATTTGGTTATTTCAGACCACGAGCACCTGCAATGCTCTCACGAATATGCTAATTTACTTTAATGAAGGATGGGAAAGAAGCAGAGGGATTAGCAAAAAGGGAACTATTTCTTTTCACTCCAGACAATACGCGGGGGCTGGGAGGTCCTCGCTGCTTGGCTCCGCAGTACTTTGGATATTTTCCCCATGTGGCTTTTCTTTGAAAAGCTACTCAGCAGCAACACAGTGCTGTATTGGCCCCATCTTCACTTGCCGTGCTGAACCCTGCCGCACACTTCAGGGAACGGGCTCATGGCCTTGTGATGCCAGCACACTGGGAGGGGCTGTGATGTACTGGGGTGGGAAGGACACGCTTCCAACGACTCGGCTCCGATCTTGGTCCTGCCACTCTCCTGGCGTCTCCTGATGGTGGCCCAGCTTTTACAGGAAATTGTCTGGCCTGACTGATGAGGGTGACCATGTTATTACACCTGCTGATGTCCTTGCTTCCTAGCTGGTTTAGCATCTGTCCTGGACAAATGAGAAGATACATGATACGTAGCCTGTCCCCGGAGGGTTCTGTGCAGAAAACTGTCAATTCAGCATGAGCCGGCCCTGGTTTATATCCTGGCTTCCCATGGCGCCAGTTGTGCGACCGGGCATGAGAAGTGCTCCAGTCATCCATGTACAGAAGCAGGAGACATGCTTCTGCCGCGAGGAGTGCCACCCCCACTTCCCAGCACAAACCCAGGGAATCTACTTCTAGTTCCGGAAGCTCTCGGTGAGCCATGCCTCAGCCTGATGCCAGAACGAGCAAATCGCATACTGCCATTTTGGGACCAAGGACTCCCCGAATCCGTGGAGAACTCAAGAGTAGGATGATTGAAGACATCTCCTGTAAATGAGTCAAGTGCTTCCAGGAGCCCAGACAGTCCAGCTGAGAGCTTTAAGTGGTCCATTTCTTTCCTCCTAATTTCAAAAGAAATGCAATCCCTTGGTTTTGTTCGTCACTTTAGTGTGACTTCGCTGGCCTGGGACAGCTGCCCAGCATGCATTAGAGGAGCGGACGGCTGGAGGCCAGGGACCAGATCCCCAGTGTGAGCCAGCCTGCCGAACAGAATGAAGGCAACAGCAACAGACTTGGAAACCACTCCAACTCAAGGGCACTCAGCAGACAGGAAGGGAAAAACCCAGGGCACAGGTCGAGGAGTAGGTGTGAGAGGGCACAGAGGGCACCTCCCAGAGCCCTCTGCAGAGGATCAGAGGAAGCACAGCTGCCCACATGTGTCCCATCCTTCCTTGCCTGCTCCGCTCATGCGGGCTAGAAGGGCAGGCTGGAGCCGGGCAGCAGTTGGCTGCAAGCAACACCGTAGGCAGAAGTGTTCTGTGCTTTGGGTGCCGTTGAGAGCACCTTGTTCAATTTTCTGGTTTAATGAGCTCCAAGGTTGTGATGTGATTTGGGAGGTGAAGGTGCTTGGGATCACATAAAGGCAGTTGGAGGGCTGTTGTGACTTAGTACTTAGTGTTAAGAGTCTTAGAACAGGTACATTCGAATCGAGAAACTCGCCCCCCGTACCTCAACACCCTTCATCCTTTGGCAGTGTTGAGTGCACAAATTTCAAGTAACAAATCTTGTTTGCCTCTCTGATATCATAATTGGAACATCAAACACATTTCTGATTTGAATTGATCAGCCGTCTACAGTGGTCTGAGAAACAGCCAAAAGGCCCCTAGGCTTATAATGCTTATAATCATAAACCAAACCCAAACCAATTTAAAGAAAAGCGTGTAGAGAATACTGAAGTTCATGGAGCAAACAGGGGCCCACTTCAAGGCTGCAGGAGAAATCCCAGAACGGATGGCAGGATTGCATCCAGCCACCAGGGGGCACCAGAGCAGACACTTTTGCTCTCTGTAATCTTTTCCCCTCAAAAGGCAATTTCAAGTCTTTAAAGGCAAACAAAGGGAAGTACCCTGAGCAGATGTCTCCTGAAGCACTGGGCTTAAAGATGACAGATATACATGGTCACACAGCCTTCCCTTAGGGCAGCCGCCAGCCTGCCCTGGCTTTGCAATCCCTACAGAAAAAAAGACAAGGCTAAAAGATGCATGGCACGTGCCAGGTATCCCTGGCATGGAAACCAAGTTTGGCAGACTCTGGGTAGAATCATGTGCCCTAAACAGGGGTGAGTGTGGGATGATGAGGGCCTCCACAGCCAGGCAGACACAGGGGCAGAGAGAAGGCCCAGCTCTGGGCATCCCAGCCAGGGAAAGGAGGGAGGGTTAGAATGTATGCCATAGAGAGCCACACTGAGTTCCACAGAGAAGTTTCTGCCTTTAAGGCCAATATCTGCCTGCTGGGTAGTCCTTGAGTGCCTGTGGGTGGATATAGCGGATGACACCCACTTGGTGGCTGAACCAGCAACAAGTCCTGCACCGTGCCTGTAGAGGGAGGGCCGAGAGAGAGAGACCAACTCTTGGAGGAACCCTGCAGTTGCATTTTCAGAAACACTCCTTGGTGGCTGTGTGTTGGGAAGCTGGCAGAGGACGAAGGGCTCAGCTGACTGTCACGAGCAACGGTTGAATCTTCTGCAGGGGCAGCAGCTGAGGGACTTTGGAACCGTTTCCCAGCATTCTCTAAGTGCACCTGGCAGCAGGCCTTTGTGTCCACTCTCCTGTGCCTGGTCTGCCACCATCCCACCCTACCCTGGAAGGCAGCCTGCTCCTCGGTTTAAGCCGGCCAAGTGTGTGCTGGAGTGTGCTGCCCACTGGCCAAGTCGTCTTTGCCACCCAGAAAGTCTGAGAAGACAGTGATCATGGTCATGACTGGAGAGGCTGATGTGACCAGTCAGAACCTAGTGTGTGGTCAGGGGTGTCCTGGGCTCCACAGAGCTCACAAGGACTCACACTCCCCACAGGATGGGAACAGCCTTGGCCCAAAAGCCTCAAAACGGGGAGCTTCGAGGTATGGTCCTCCTGGGTTTCCTCCCACCAGCCTGTTCCCAGGAACTGTCATTTGCCATTTAGCAACTGCCGAGAGTCGACACAGAAAGAACTCGAGATTGCCCCCTGCGGGACAGCCCGAGAAAACAGGAAGGAGATACTTTTCAGGATGGTTGAAGTGCGGTGTGGTGGTGGAGAGGAGCTGTGAAGACGCTGGGGACCCTACACGTCTGTCAATAGGAGCCGGGAACGTTTGGAAGGCAGCTAGAAAAGGGAGGGGGTGTGCACATGTGTGTGTGGCTGTGTGCTTGCATGTCCCTGAGTGTGTCTCTGCAGGTATAGAGACAAAGCACAGAGCCCATAAAAGCAGAGCGAGGGGCTGCCTGCAGGGAAGGGCTGCAGAGGGCCTCAGACACCCCCCTGGGGATACCCAAGCTTATCAACAAGGGGGGTGCAACCCAGAACCACTGTCCACGGGGCCTGGCCCAGGTGCTGGCTGGGTGGTACAGTCTTACAACCTGGCCGGTGTGACCCAGCGCTTCCAGCTGCAGGTGGGGTGTGATCTGCAGGAACTGACAGCCTGGGCTGAGATGGCGAGTGACTCTCATGTGGGGGCTCCCCCGCTGCATCCCCTCCTCCACTTGGGCTGCAGCTTAAGTCATCAGGACAGAGCTGTACATCTCGCCTGTGCTGGGAAAGGGCACATGTGACTTCAAGACAAGCCCCAGCCCCCCTCTGCTCTCACCCTTTTGGGGGCTCTCCTTGCAAAGACTGCTTGAGGTAGGGGTGCCTGACTGAACACCCTGACCAGCCCCACCAGAGGCCCAACCTGGGGCAGAGAGAAACGGCTTCCATCTCTCTTGTTTTTCTCAAAAGAAGGAAACTTGATGTTCTTTTTTCTTTTTTCTAGCCAGGGTGGTTGCCAGTGAAGAAAGTGTCAGGGCTTGGTTTCCATGGAGACAGTGGCTTCGGCAGAGAGCCCTGAGCAGGGTGATAAGAGCAGAGAGAGTGGGCAGGGGTTGGAGAGGGAGCCTGTAGCTGAAGAAAGAGCTAGATGGGGACAGAACATTCCAGCAGCTTCTTGAACATCAGTGGACTCGACATCTGAGGTGACCGTGTGAAAACAGACTGGGAGAAGCAGAAAGAGGGGACAGGCTGCTCACAGGCTTGGTGGACAGGCCCGTGGTTGGGAGGTGGCCAGAACTTGGGGCTGGGGCGACTGTTGAGACCGAGTTACTGAACCAAAGAAGGTGCCACACAGACAACCTCAGAATACTCCTCTAGACAGCACAGACGTGGTTCTGTGGCCACCCTGCATGCACCATACAGAAACCTCCATATCGTGTGAAAATACGAGTGCCACTGTCCAAACACTTAGGGCAAAGCTGGGCTGCATGGCTGGGGAGGTAACACTACTGTGAGAAGTTCGTAGCATCATCAAAGAGCCTGTGAGTGTTTTGAGCGTCCAGGGCATACACCTGTTTTCTGGAAGCATGATGTGGGGCTGTGGCTCCTCCTGACACGTTTTGGGAAATGCTGGCCTCAGGGACTGCTCCACCCACGTGCTCTGACCTCGTCTCTGCTCAGACAGCTGCTCTCGCCCAGGCTGCTCCCAGTGCCAGACAAATCCCGAGTCAGCAATGTTCAGTGAACCTTCTAGAATCCTAGGGGCAGTGGGGATGGCATCATCTTTGGGTTTCCATTATACTTTCTCTCAGCCTGGTGTAAACATTTCCTTCTGTGTCTCCACGCCCTGCAAGGCAGCCAGCCCTGGGGGCAAGCCACGTGGTCTCATCAACCTCTTCCATTGTATTATGTGTCTTGCACACAGCTGGCACCCAATGGGTGAGGAATTAAACATGAAGAAATGAAAGACATGGACGACGTTTCAGAAAGTCCTGTGTACTTCCAAAGTGGGAAGCTCCCCTGTCCCCCTTCTTTTATTTTCTCCAAAATTTCTTTCTCTCTCTCTTTTCAAGTTGGCAACATTTTCTGTTCTTACAAAATCATGTTTTGTTTTCTTTTTTCCCTCACCAACCCCCAGGTACAAAGGGTTTAAAGGCAACTGCTCCATGACCTTCATTGACCAGTTCAAGGCCCTGCACCAGTGCAACAAGTACTGCAAGATGCTGGGGCTGAAATCTCTCCAAAACAACAGCCAGAAACAGAGGAGGCTGAGCCTAGGCAAGAGCAAAGCGCAGGGGAGCTCCACAGCAGCGAGGAAGCCAGGACCTGGGAGCCCAGCAGCAAAGACAACGTGATGTGGCCAGTGCACTTGGTCTTCCATGGGCGAATACCACAGCAGCTCCCCTGACCCCAGCTGGCAGAACTTCAAGTAACTTCCGCACGCAGCACCCACTGTCCTTCCTTGTGGAATGGTTTTGGCGCAGTGTTTCAGACCAGACTCTGGGAGAGCCTGTGTCATTTGTCAGTCTACTCTCTGTGTAGCCGGCTAGCGTTTGCGCCCACCTCACGTCACGTGTGTGTCTGTGTATTGCACGTAGCTGTGTTGTCGAGGACTTGGTACAGGGTCTATCCACAGCCCGTGTCCCTCCCATTTGCACTCCTGACCTCGGGATCTTCAGGTGTACCCGGTTGCAATGGGAACGGAAATCACAATTGCCTTACCAGGTCAAGCTCTCATGCCTGTGTTGCGTATGCCACCATGGCTGGGTTGGCTTTTGTCACATGAGGTTCTTCCCTTTGTCATCTCACAGCTGGTTAGTGTTCTGTTGCATTAAATTCCTATTTAAACAAAAAGTATAAGAAGCACGACCATTTGTTCTTTAATATCTGCAGTGTATAACACCTGCTCCCAGGGTTCCTTAGTTTAGCAATTTCTGAGTAAGTTCACTGTAGTACAAAATGTTTGTATTTGTTTCTACCTTCTCAAAAAAACCTTTTAATTCCATTTTTCCAAACGTTAAAAAAGTTTTATTTTCACTTTATTTGAAAGGGACAGTGAGAGAGTCTTCCATCCACTAATTTATTTGCACAAAATATCTTCAAAAACTGAGGCTGCACCATCCTGCTTGGGGCCAAGAGCTTCATCTGGTCTCCCATGACAGGGGCACCTTCCCAAGTATTTGAGCCATCACCTGCCACCTATGGTGGGCATTAACAGGAAGGCTGGAGTGGAAGAGAGGAGCCAGAACATGAAGCAAGCAGTCTGATGGAGGACACAGCCTACATGTTTGCTGAAACATCAAAAGCGAGCCCTTCTGCCTCATTCTTATTTCACAACTTAGGTTCTACCAGTTTCTATTTTTCTCCTAACACATGGGCTCCCCATAGCCAGGGCTATTCCTCACTAGGGAATTCCAGCTCACAGGGATATTGTTCTCCATCCCACGTGAGTCTCCAGCCTCAGAGTCTCCTCCGTTGCTAGTCTAAACCATGGTCAGAAATAGGGCAAAAAAGCTTCAGGAGTTCAGTGGTCATGAGGAAACCTAGACACAGCTTTGCACATGCCAGGGTGACTGTACATTTGCTGCCCTGTCACCCTAGCTGATTTGGGGTCATTTCATTAATGGACAGTCTTTCTTAGTTTGGTTTAAGCTGGTAGAAAATTGAGTGGGAAGGCTGGAGAGTTACCATCTGTGCTTGCACCTGCACTCCATACTTCTGCCTGTTCATATCTTCCTTCTGGGTGGTGCCTTTGTCAGAGCCGATAAGCCAATATAAAAACATACTTATTAAGTCTAGAATTTATTTGGGGGTTTACTCTTGGGTCTTACAGTCTATGGATTTTTTTTAAAAAGATAGAATACCTGAAAGGGGACACGCAATCTTCAAGCCCCTGGCTCACTTCTACAATAGCCAGATCTGAGCCAAGTTGAAGTCAGGAGCCAGATGTCCATCCTGACCTCCCACATGGATGACAAGGACCCAAGCACTGGGCCATCAGCCACTGCTTTCCTAGGTCCAATTGTCAGGAAGCAGATGGCAAGCAAAGCAGCTGAGACTCAAACCAGCACTTCCACATGGGATGCTGACACTGTACTCATTGGCTTAACCCACTGTGCCAGACAACAGTGCTCGTCTGTGGGCTTGCGTCTGTGTATGATAGCACAGCCACATACCATCCAACAGCATCATACAGTGACCCACAGGCGTAAATAATCCCAGGACTGCACCTGTTCATCCCTCCAACCCCTAACCACCAACCTGGGCAGCCACGGACCTTGTTAATGTGGCTATAGGGAACCTTTTCTGGAGACCATGTGGATAACAGGTCTTTCAGATGTTTTGTTATTTTTAAAGAGGGATTTCAACTATTCCCTGGCTGTGTCTGAGACAAGTGTTAATGGCCTCTTCTCAACATGATCCGGGTATCTCAAACTAGAACAAATACAGGAGTCTGCAGGGTCAAGGGGGGAAGCACAGGCTCTGATTCTGTGTGAGGTCAAGATTCCCCATGTGGCTGGAGACCACACTCAAGAGAGGGTGCTGAAGGCAGCAAGGCAGGTTTGCAGTGCTAAAGGAGTGACAGAATGTCCTGAAGTTCCACCAAGAGGAAGAAGCCGTGTGCCTTCTGAGTGTGTGGCAAGCAGCACCTGGCACAGGGGACTGGCCAGCTTCTGCTTGCAGCCACAGCTGGGGCTGAGCTCTCTCCACCCGCCACTGGGAGACTCCCAGCTGCTTCTGTTCAGAGAACTGTCTCTTGGGATGCCGGCATTCCAGGCTGGAGTGTCTGGGATCAAGTCCCACATCTGCTCTGCATCCAGCTTCTTGCCAACACCATGTGCCCTGGAGAGGCCGACAGGGATAGTTCAGGTAATTGGGTCCCTGCTGCCCATTCAGGAGACCGTGGAGTTCTTGGCCCCTGCTTTGGACTGCCCAAGCCGCAGCTGTTGCTAACATTGGAGGAACAGAGGAGCAGGTGTAAGATCTCTTTGTCTCTCCCTATCTTCCCACTCTGCCTTTCAAGTAAATAACTCTTAGGACAATTTTACCTTCAGGCAAATTTTTTCTTTTTGAAAAGAATGGAAATTACATGGGATGTTTGTTTTGAAAAGGGGTTCGAAGAACACTTGAATCAGTTAGTGTCATCTTTCTCGAAAACCTGCCATTGCCAACCTTTCTTCTGCAGGGGTTACCTTGGGGCACAAACTAGAGAATCTCACTTTTCCACAAGGCAGGCTGCAGCCTGCTTTGCCCGTTGAGATCCTATGGAAGAGTTCAGCAGTGCAGTTCTAGAAAGTTCCACAATGGCGAGAAGACAAGGAGACATTTGCTTTGGGTCCACCCAACTATGTCAACGCAGGTACAAATGGGACTTTCCTGTCAGCTCAGGATACTCTAGTGATAATCAATAATTATAAGAAATCATACCAACACCAGTGTTTGAAACATTATGGACAGCTGTGAAAGGGTAGGTATCCCCCATGGCCCTAGCTGGCTCTGACTCCCCACTTGGCAGGAGATGGCTGGCAGGAGAGGATTCTCCAACCCTGGTGTTTGTGATGTGCAGTCAGTCCGTGACTGCCTGTCTTGGAAGGCATTGCCCCCCTCTCATCATGGATACTTGGATTTTCCAAAGGGCCTGAGTTGATGACTGTGGTCTGACTGCAGCTGTTTGCAAACATTTAGAGATCCAGGGACAGAAGGGGCACCTGCACCAGGAGATGACCCCCTGCCAGCATTCCTGGAGACAGCCTCTACAAGATGTGTGAGTGTCTGCACTAAGTGCTGCTTTTCTTGCACACTCAGAACGGGGTAAGTGTGCACAGACTTCATGCAGCATACACTTTGGCCCTGGAGTCTCAGAAATGCCCTCCCTCACTGCCAAGGTACCCACTTTCTGTCAACTTTCCTCATCAGAGTGTGAAGGTAAGAAGACTAGAAGAACACTCCACCAGTCATTGAGATGAGATGGCCCAGTGGATTTAGCTGATGATCATCAAAATACTTGTGGAAAATATCTTTTGGTGCAAAAAATTCAAATCCATGCAGCTTTTTCCCCATAATTTGTACTGTCCCCTTTTGGAAGTGCCCTAGTGTGTGTCTTGCTTTTCCAAAGGGCTCCACAGTAGGTATATCCCCAAAACCAACCAAAATAGCATACAAACAGGCCTGTGAGTTTTTTTTTTCCTAATGAGGATGGCAGGAAAGCAGTGCCTTCTTGCCAGCAGGCATTATGTTCTGGAAAGGTCTAGCTTGGGCATGGTGGGGGTGGTGGGAGTGGAGGATGGCTGGCCTGCACACAGGTCTCCTGGTATTTCTCATCCCAGCATCTCACAGACATGCTCTGGCAAACCTCTTGAGAGCAAAGGGTTTCAATGAGCTTATCACAAAGGATGCCAGAAGACACCACAGTTATTTGCTAATTATAAAGCGCTCTCTTTTCCAAACACACATCCTGTGTTGTGTGCACCTCCATGTGTGCTCACTTGGATGCAGAGTGGGGAGTCCACTGCCACCCCAGCTCTGACCTCAGCACACACTCCACTCTCCTGGACCACCTGAACCAAGGTGGGCAGAGGGCACTGCTCATTTACATGTATAGATGCCACTTGGATTTAATTAGATTTTTTAAAAATCAGACACAAAAACCTCTTCTGCATGCTAACACAGGCTGCGAGTGCATTTCCCAGCCTTTGCTGTAACATCTCTGAAATCCTTTGAGGCTCTACTTGTTCTAAGACCAGTTTGTGACAGCTGAGAGGCAAGATGGGAGCCACTCTTGTTCATATGATCGGTGTGCCAGGCTTCAGTCTTATGTGGGTTATTCCCACAACAGCATTCACTGCACTGAGAGATTGCGGATGTTTTTTATTCTATGAGAAACCCAGATGGTCGCTTGTAGAAATCATCTCCAAAGCTTTCCTGTAAAGTTCCGTGTTTTGGATCACATATGGTCAAGCACAGTGAGCCTGCCAGCTTCCGTCGGCAGCGATTACATGGAGAGCTCCCCCTCCACCCCATCATCTGTTACTTCTCTAACTCCAGGTGGGGCAGCAAGGCAGTCACTGTGACTGGCTGGTGATGAACTTGCCCACAGGACAGTCTCAGGCGTCTGTATTGCTTTCCCAAGGCTGTTGTACAAAAGACCCCAATTGCCGGGGCATTGACCAACAGACATGCATTGCTTCATGGTTCTTGAGATTGGAAGCCCCAGGTAAAGACCTTGTAGGGCTGTGCTCTTATGGAAGACACACAAGATGCACCAACCCAACCTCTCTCCCCAGCATCTCAGAGACCCTTGGTTCATGCTGGCACCATCCGTGTCATGTCTGGTGCTTTTCTGGTGTGGGTGTCTGCCTGCGTCTTTTTAGAAGGTCACCAGCCATCTGATTAGAGCTCCCTCTAGCAACCTAACTGTCTTCCACAGTAACAGGGGTCAGGACTTCAGTGCAGAAGCTGAAGGAGGAAACGATGCAGCTCACACCAGTGTCCCCAGCCTGCACCTGCAGACAGCCGGTCAGGGCTAAAGGGAACAAGACAGTACGTACATGCCATTGGGACAGTATACACATGCCACTTGGTGTCATGTGCCTCCTGGCATCATGGGGGCAGGAGGAGCCTCATCCACAGAAGAGTGCTCTGTTCTTCTTGTGGCCTAATCCTTTCTGCATCAGTAGGGTCTCCTCTTTGCATACCCACCAGGACTGCTGTTCACATAGTAGAAATGGGCATGGTGACCCCAGCTGTGCAGTGTGCTAGCTGGGAACTTCAGAATGGGCAGCCCCATCTGCATACAGCAG